ACACTCTTGTGGGACACTCTTGTCGGAAACTCTTGTGGGACACTCTTGTGGGACACTCTTGTGAGACTCTTACGGGACATTCTTGTGGGACACTCTTGTGGGACACTCTTGTAGGACACCCTTGTGGGACACTCTTACGATACACTCTTGTTGCACACTCTTGTAGGACACTCTTGTGGGACACTCATACGGGACACTCACTTGGGGCACTCTTGTGGGACACTCTTGTAGGAGACTCTTGTGGGACACTCTTGTGGGGCACTCTTGTGGGACACTCTTGTAGGAAACTCTTGTGGGATACTCTTGTAGGACACTCTTGGACACTCTTGTAGGACACTCTTGTGGGACACTCCTGTAGGGCACACTCTTCGTACGAGACTTCCTCCAAAAGTCACGCTGCGAGGCTGCAAGACGAGCGTTTCGTACGAGACTTCCTCCAAAAGTCACGCGTCAAGTCTCCAAAACGAGCGTTTCGTACGAGACTTCCTCCAAAAGTCACACGTCAAGTCTCCAAAACGAGCGTTTCGTACGAGACTTCCTCCAAAAGTCACATGTCAAGTCCCCAAAACGAGCGTTTCGCACGAGACTTCCTCAAAAACTCACATGTCAAAGTCTGCAAAACGAACGTTTCGCACGAGACTTCCTCCAAAAGTCCAGCGGAAACACCCATCGGAGCACACACATCACGCAGCCCTGCCAAGGAGTTTCGCGATTCCAGCCCCTCCAAACAACATCCGCTCACACGCCAATCCCAATGTGACGGCGACATTCACCTCTACCACAACTCACAACCTCACGATTCCCTGCGCCTGCCACGAATCTTTCCGCATCCACACGTCTAACGCGCACAAAGTACCGCGCCTGCCACGAAATGTCACCTCCGTCACACCTCGCAACCTCACCATTCCCTGCGCCTGCCACGAGAATCGCACTTCCACGCCTCAAAGCCCACACAAAGTACTGCGCCTGCCACGAAAAGTGGCAATATCATCTCATGTCAGCTTCAACAAAATTTGCACCACACCACACGTTTGGAATGATTTCGACCCGTTCTGAGCACACTCCCATCCACCAAAATCGCCATTTCAGCTGAGACTGAGACTGGTCACGAAAGCAGAGCTTCGATGCCACACCCTGAAACGCAAATCCCAATGGCACGGCCACATCCAACACCCCAAAAACACGACTCTCCAAACGCTAATCCCAATGGAACTGCGTAGCAAACTGAGGATCTCACAAAACGCTGCGCCTGTGCAGCGAAATGCATCACGTATCTTGCGCGACATGTCATTTTCACGCAAATCACAATGGAATAGCGTCGCAAACTGACACGTGACTTGCAAAAGCTTCCCCCAATGGCAGCGCCTTAGCGCTCTACCGCGAACGGTTGCGAACGGTTGCGGACGGTTGCGGACGGTTGCGGACGTAGAAACAACGGATCGAGAACAAGGCTCTACCCCCAGACCCCCAAGAGTTAAACGAGAACCCTTCGCTACGCATTCGGAAAAAAGGTAGGTCAGGGCTGTTGCCCAACGTTTCTGTTGATCTGTTCATGTGCATTCCTTTGGCCATGAAACACCACAAACATCCACCAACATCAGCCTTGGTTTTGCTAGATCGGATGCTGACCAACAAAAGATCAATACAAGCCAAATCGTCCCAGCAGAAACTCCTCGAAAAGAGAACACGTGAAGCCATCAAAACATATCAAACACCAACTCCCAGTGAATTGTGAACCTGGGTCTTGATTGTGTCTGTATATAGGTTTATTGTGTCTTGCAACGCATCCTGTCTCTTTCTGCGTCACGGGACGTGAAGTATTCCACCAGCAATGCATCCGCCGTTGCGAACGCTCCGGCGCGAAGGCTCTGCAGGTCCCCGCGGAAGCTGCGCCAAGCTTCGTGTCCATCGCCTCGTGCAGTGGAATGGAGGAGTGGAAGGGTGAAGCTTCCAGAGTTCAGAAGTTCTGTGATGAGACTATCTCTCTCTCCTATATATTTGTATATATATATATATATCTGTCGCATGCTCTCCCTCTTGCTGCATGTTGGCACTGTGTCCAAGCGGCAACTCAAGTAGGAGAAGAGATTCTTGCCTAGCGAGTTGAAAAGCAGCAAGAAAACCAGAAGGCCTCAGGCTTGCAAATGGCCAAATGGCCACCACGTGAGCTGACAGGGCTGAGGTCGTTGCCTTTCAGCATGAACCATGAGCGCCAGGTGCGAAGTGCGGACCGTGGAGGGTCTGCGAAGTCGACATGTGCGTTTGGAACGAGCGCATAGCGAAGCTGTGATTCTTGGCTGATTCGAAGAACATGATAGTAGCAATGGCCTCCAACCTAAGAGCGATGGCCTCCAACCTAAGAGCGATGGCCTCCAACCCACTATCAGCAAAATCGAGGAGTGCAGAGGGTCACCTTGAACACAGTATGGTGTGCTAAACTTGCAAGTAAGCGTGAGTAAGCGTGAAGTGGTTCGCGTCCTTCCGGTTTGTTTCTATGCTTGCTTTGGTCAGGATCCCTGGCTAGAGCCTCTCTGACAATCTGATGTGTTTCGGTGGTTCAAGTTCCCAAAAACACCAAATCATACTAGGGGCTCCTGGCATCACTACTAGGAACAAGAACGTTACTAGGGGCTCCTGGCCGTACTACTAGGAACAAGAAGCTATTGGAACAACCCTGCAAAGCAAAAGCGACATAGTTGGATCTGATAGCCAAACGTCGAGCATCTTTGGGTTGTGTTCTTGAACAGAAATGCTGACGGCTACATCTCCCATGATCCCGGAAACTGCAACCATCGGCCATCCATCTATGCCATGCCTATGCCTTGACCTGTTGAGGGCTACGACTGCAATTGGTGAACTGTCACACCGGGTGATGGCGGAATTCCTCAAGGACACAGAATAAGGTGACCTCCGAATCCAAGGCGCAGGGACTTCCGGAGTTATTTCGGAGTAGCGGGCATAAATCTGCCGTCATAGCTTAGGTTTGAACTGAATGAGTTCTTCACCAACCGGAAGTTGGGTACACTAAAAAGGTATGTCGAACAGGTCTTGGAAAAAAACAACAAGTATGGTATGGTTCTTTGGATTTGAAAGGCATTGACTTGAAAAACATGCTCTGGAATCACTGTAACTTCAAGTTTAAGTCCACAAGAAGGGTGATCATGTAATTCTGTGGCCATGTCAAGTATAGTAAAAGTGGAATGCAAGTGGAAAGTGCGCCCTAGGTGTATAGAGCTATATATCTATAAATCCTATTGAAGTGCTTGAGACGCTGTGTCGCTCTTTATGCCACAAAATAGGGTCCTTGGCAGGGCTTTCTTGCATCCTGCACTGTGAATTCGACTCCAGAAACTGGCCGCGCCGCCCGCTTTTGCAGGTTCCTGGCACTGGCTTCAGCTTAGCTTGGTCAACAACGAAAAAATAACATGTCAATTTCTTCCCGACGTTCCTGAGAGAATGAGCATTTTTGCCCACTCAGGAATCGTTGGGGAGCCAAAAGTGCGCGGGCCTCGCCACAGAAGAAGTGAAGATCTCCAACATTTGATTTCCGTCTTAGCGTCGGATTAGATGTGCTTGTTGATCTCCAACTTACCAGCCGGAGCAGTGTTTGGCCATCCCTCTCAGTCTGTCAACACAAGATCCACACTAATCTTTGATCTTGGTTTGCATTGCTTCCTTCGCTTCTTGGCAATGTGGCGACGCGCCAAACGCTTTAAAGACTCTCTAAGAAATGCCAGGATGGACCCAGCTGGCAAAAGGCCTTCGCACAAAAGTGTGCCCGTTCGCACCAAGTCGTGCCTGAAAAACTACCCTCTTAGGCAAAATTCTTGCTTGAGGATGGATATATATATATATATAGAGATTGTGTTCCTTGAAATGGTGCGACCGCCGCAATTGCGAGCCTAAGATGTCCTACGAGTATCCTAAAGGAATGCATGATGAAACGCGCGTTCCTACTTATCAGATGACCTGATGACCCACAGCCTGCCAAGATGAACACGAACCATTGCAACTTCTCGTCTTTGGAAAAAGGTCAATGGAAGCCGAAGATACCTACCAACAGCCGAGAGAAAAGACTTATTAAGTGTTCAAAGAAATCCGTGGATTGAGCGCCCAAGCCTAAGCAGGTCGAAAGTATTCAGCCCAGTGTCAAAGCTTATTGAGGCCAAAGAAATACTGACAACAGACCAACTGAGCAGCTTGACTGCCCTGGAACAGGAAGTGTCCATACCCGCCGACCCCAGTCTAGGTGACGGGCCGGCGTGTCCCTCTCAGGTTTCTGTCAATGTGTCGTCCTCTAGCTTAGAAGACCAACATAAAGTCGCAATTTTTGGCTTAGCAAAAATACCTCAAAGGGGTAGAAAGAACTGGACACAAACAGTTATTGAATGTTATTGACAATCAACATTCAGATATGACAAGGATATACCATTATCAAACACATTGCAGAACAAACTGACATCCACAAAAAGCACAAGGGAATACCGAAGTCGAACACACAGTAAGTTGTCACTAAACCTTGGTTTGAAAAACATTCACTAGATACGCCATTGAAAATCGATTCAGGGTTGAACAGGGAGCCTTTGCTTTCAAAAAAATATGCCAATCATTTCAATCTGAGGTAAATAAACATGTTCAAGGTGAGCAGGGATTGTCAGTGATTGTTCACCAAAAGTCAATCCTAAAAACCTTCTTGAAAGAAAACGGTAAAATGAAATTGAACATTAGAACTGAAACCATCTTCAGCAAACCAGAGCATCTTTATGGCGGTGCTTGGGATGAAATTGAAGAAATTGACAGCTCTACAAATTAAATTGCCTTCCACCTGAGTTACTGTAACATTCACAATGAGGATGACATCAACCTAGCAGTTGAAGACAGTGTAAACAACAACTTTTGCAAATTGAGCAATTTGAAGCAACTAAATGGAACTTGAAGTGTAAAAGGTCATGTCAATTTCAATAACCATTCACTAAAATAGATATGACCCGACACGAGCAGGTAGTACACTTATTTGCACAGATTTATTAAATTAAAAAAGGTGTGTCCAGCCCGCGCGCTACAAATGACACATTTTCATTTTGGCCACGGGCGCTAGCCCCCTAAAAATAGGGTCCAGAATTAATTTTGTATTTTGTTCGTTTAATTTTGGAATTATTTTGGTATTTTGGGCGCGGAAATGCAGATTTCCTGGTGAGCAGCGTTATGTGAACCTCGGAGGGGGCGCTGATCTTAACACCTAGGCCTCATGTCAGATGGCAAAAGCTTGGTAGCCCTTAGCATCCAACCTCGGGTGGCTCACATCTTTGTTGGAGTGGTCCCTGTCCATCCTTCAATTTGACCATTGGCAGCGCTTTGTAAACGTCGCTGATCTAAGCATTCAAGTCTTTTGTGAGATGGCCAAAGCCTGGTGACCCTTAGCATCCGCCGTGGGAATTGTCCCACTTGCGCACGCACCAGTTACCTCACTTGCGCGCACGCGCGCGTGACTCACTTGCACACGCAGCGACCCACTTGCGCACACAGGACGTTGCTGCATTGGAATGGCGCCTTCCTTCTCTAAATTTTGCCCTCGGGTGGCTATGCCGGTATGCACCATTGGACTGGCACCTTCCTCCTTTAAATTTTACGCCCGGGTGTTTCACAAAAGGCACGCGCCGTTGGAATAGCACCTTCCTCCTCGAAATTTTACCGTCAGGGGGCTCACAAAAGATATGCAAGTTTACCTTGGCAGCGCTTTGTAAACCTCGCTGATCTAAGCGTTCAAGTCCTTTGTGACAAAGCTTTTGTGAGATGGTCAAAATCTCGTGTGGCCCCTAGCATCCGCCATTATGGGGTTGCAGTGGATAAGGTATCTGTGTGGTACGCGGTTGTTATGCAGATTTCCTGGAGAGTAGCGCTATGTGAACCAGGAGTGCACTTTGGGAAGCACGGAGCGCTGATCTTAACATTCAGGTCTTATGTCGAAGAAACAAAGAAACACAAGCAGGAAGCTGTGAGAAACAGCCGGAAAAACAACCAAGCAAGAAAGAAGGCACAAAAAGCGGCAAAAGCGGCAGTTTTGGGCTCACAAACACAAGCAACAAGATGGATTGAGAATACATTATTGATTCTTTGACGCGCGCGCCCAAAGGACCTATGTAGCACCAGAACGAACCAAGGGGCCGGGGGAGCAAGAGACCAGGGCACCATTGGACCAAGGGACCAGCAGACCACGGAATGAGGGGACACACGTTGTTTAATTGATGCGTAATCCTGTCCACCTAAAAAAAACACGCGCCCCCCCCTAATAAGGAAACCTCGGTTGCATTTTGTTTAGATAGGGTCCCTGAAATCGGGGGTTCTAAAATGGGGTCAGTGGATGTGCAACACTTTGTGGGCCTTGAAGTGCAGATTTCGTGGCAGGTGTGCTTTGTGGACCTTGAATGAAGTGCAGAATTCGTGGCAGGTGCATTACTTTGTTGACCTTGAAGTGCAGATTTCGTGGCGCGTGCGTTACTT